GTATTTTATTTATTCCTCTGAATAACCCAAATGAAATAGGAATTATTGTGACTTCCATTTATAGATGAGTAAGCAATGTAGTTGGCATGTGAAAGGCCATATGATAGTAACTAGAAAAGCGAGAAAAAAAAACAAAAAAAATTAGATAACATACATAGGCGGATTATGCTCTGTAACCCTAGCTACTCAGGAGGATGAGATCTGAAGATCACAGTTTGAAGCCAGTCTGGAGAGGATAATGTTATCTCCAAATCTATTAACCACCAAAATGCCAAAAGTGGAGGTGTACAACTCAAGTGGTAGAGTGCCAGCCTTGAGCAAAAAAGCTAAGAGACAATTGCTAGCCCCTAAGTTCAAGCCCCAGTACTACACAAAAAGGAAAAAAAAAAAGAGGGGTGGGGGAAAATGGAGCACTGAGGCATGGGTAATGGCAAAGGTCTGAGGTCAGGTGTCAGAGACCTCCCTGAAGAAAGAAGTGAAAATTCAAGGTGCCTAGAAGGGTGAATAGAACTTGGCCAGGTGAAGAGGCAGCAGGGAGGCAGAAAGAGTGGGGTCAGTTGAACATCAAAGGTAAAGCTCTGGGTGGGAACCATTATTTGGTGCTACTGAGAGCCTGGCTGAGAGTGAGGAAGAGCAGGTAAAGAGACTGAGCAAGAGCAGGAAAGGAGAGACTTATGTAAGGAAAATATGTAAGGAGGCAAGCTAGAGAAGGAAGAGGTAGGATGAGAAGTGTGTGTGTGTGTGTGTGTGTGTGTGTGCTGGGAGTTGAACTCAGGCCCTTGAGTACTCACTTTTTTTTTCTCTCAAGGCTGGTGTTGTATACTTGAGTCACACTTCCACTTCTGGCTTTTTGCTGGTTAACTGAAGAGTCTCATGACTTTGTCTACCTGGGCTAGTTTTAGACTGAGATCCTTAGATCTCAGTCTCCTGAGTAGCTAGTATTACAAGTATGAGTCACTGGCACCTGGCTTAGGACTGATTTTTTTTAACCTGTGAAGAACACAAGGGAGGAGCACACAATTTCACTGGTGTTTGGACCACTGAACCAGACTAGGGTGGTAACAGTAGTTACTAGATAAGTGATTGGGGTGTGAAGAAGAAAAAAGATAGGCCCTTCTGTTCCTTATCCCAAGGTCCAGTTATTTCTTTTTTTTTTTTTTGGGCTCCAGTCGTGGGGCCTGAACTCTGGGCTTGGGTGCTGTCCCTCAGCTCTTCAGCTCAAGGCTAGCGCTCTACCACTTGAGCCACAGCACCACTTCTGGCTTTTTGCTTATGTGGTGCTGAGGAATCAAACCCAGGGCCTCATGCATGCAAGGCAAGCACTCTACCACTGAGCCACCTTCCCAGCCCCCAAGGTCCAGTTATTTAGTTAATTTATTTTATGCACATCTTAGTGAACCCAGCACATGGTGGTGGTGGGGTGCTGTCCCAGGGCTTTTTGTTTTTGTCTTGCTCAAGGCTAGCACTCTACTACTTGAGTCACAGCTCCATGTTTGCCTTTTTGGGTAGTTTATTGGAGATAAGAGTCCCATAAACTTTTCTGCTCTGGCTGTTTTCAAACTGTGATCCTCAGATCTCAGCCTCCTGAGTAGCTAGGATTATAAGCATGAACCACTGGTGCCTGGCAAGGTTGTTATTTAATAGGTAACTTTCATTTTACTCACTGGCTTCATAAATATCTTCTACTTGTACCCCCTACCCCCCATTCTCACTGCTACTGGCCTAGCTCAGAAGTTTCTCTACCTTCAGATGGGTTCCTTTCCATACCATTCATACCATCTTCTGTGCTTTTTTTTTCTTTTTTTTTTCAGCACTGGGGATTTGTTTCCTCTCCCAGTATTGGGACTATACATTCCTTGGATCTCTTGAATGCTAGGTATGTGTTGTAGAATTCTACCCTGACCTTATCTTAGTGTATGTTCTAAATCAGTCAAGTCAGTCCAAGCCTCACTCTTCTGACAAAGACTCTATTTCAGGATTAAGGCTAATCTCTATCTGATCTGGTCTCAGTCTCCTTTTGTGAGTTTATTCTCCCCTTCTCAGGTCAATGCTCCCAAAAGGCATTACATCTACTGAGTCCCCATGTCACTTGCAAGTTGCAATAAATGTCCTCCATGGTCCTAGGTCTTTTCCATCAACAATGTGCTTATGTATTTACAAAAAATATACTTGCCCCATTCCTCAGAGGTCACATGGTCTTTGCATTGCTAGGAATTTGCCATCCACTTCTCTCTGCTAAATTTCTATTCACACTTCAAGTCTCAGCTCAGATATCAGTCTCTAGGCTTTTGTAACACTCCTACTCCCCTGATAGGATTAATTGCTTTTTTGTCTGTGCTTCTAAGGCACTTTACACATAGCTCTATCCTAGAATAGTACTTATTTTATTGTATTATGGATATCTAAAGAGCACAGGCTAATGCAATCAACAAATGCTCCTGTCCCTGAAAGGTGGCTGGGAAGATTAGCTGTGTCAATATACATACAGTTTATATTTCTTCATCCCTTTCCTAATAATACTAACAATATATATTACATTTTGAAATCAAATACTTTAAGATCATACCACATACTACCTGGATTGATCTGGGAATAAACTTGTAAGAGAGGAATAGTATTATTATTATGTATAGTTGAAGGAAGTGAGGTACATAGCAGTTAAAAAGTGGTAATGGTTATATAACAATCTCAGTTTGGAGTCAACCTGGGCAGACACATCCTTGAGACTCTTACTTCCAATTAACCAGAAAAAAGCTGGAAGTAGAGGCCTGGCTCAACTGGTAGAGAGCCAGCCATGAGTTGGGGGTGGGGGACTGGAGGCAGCATGAAGCTGAGCAAGTTCAACCCCTAGTACTGGAAAAAAGAGAAATAAGGTTAATATAGGGGTAATAGATTAGTGGTGGAGCTCTTGACTTTTGGCAGTCCCTGGGTTCAATTCCTAGTATCAACAGCAAGATAATATAGCCGGTTAAGTGGCATATCTGCCACATAACAGTTCTTCATTGCTATTTGTTAAAATGAAGTCATATTTTTCTGGTTATAAAATCCGTGTTCTATTGTTTTACTAAAGAAATAAAAATATATTTATAGAGTGCATTATGATGTTTCACTAGATAGATATATGTCTCTCTCTATATAATATACACACACTTGTATAAATACACAAATAAGGAAACATCATATATGCATACATTCATACATACACTGTGGAATGACTGAATCAAGATAATTAATATATGCATTCTTTCACATTGTGGTGAGAATATTTAAGACCTACTGTTAGCACTTGCTTGTACTAATTATAGTCACTTGTACTAATTATAGTCACCCCGTTATAATAATCTAGACATACTCCTCTAACTAAAATTTTATATATTTGAACATAATCTCCTCAACCTGTGATCTTTCAGTTAAATCTCACTGCTTCTTGTATGCTCTAAGCAATATTTTTTCAAACTACAAGTAGTCACTCATTGTTGACTAGTATATTCAATGAAGTAGGGACTCCAAAATGTTCAGGGTATATTACATATTGTAAAGATGACCAGAGTCCTCTGATAATTGCTTCAGACATGAAATGTATTAAATATATGGGTCCAGATTTTTTGTCTTTTTCTTGTTATTATATAGGTGCCATACAGAGGGGCTACAGTCACATAAGTCAAGTAATGAGTACATTTCTTTTTGGACAATGTCACCCTTTTCCTCACTCTCTCCCAGCTGTTGCGTCCAGATTTTTACAAAAAGTATATCAGCCTTTGTGCCAGCACAATGTAAAATTCCAAATAGCATTTTATTAAATGGAATTACAACACTTCTCATTTAGTATTTTTGTTTCCCTGATGAACTGGCTCCTCCATTTGTAGCTACTGGAAAGAAGAAACCTTTTAGTTGTTGCTGTTGCTGTTGTTGTTTTTCTGATTCCTAGCTGAGTATTTGTTATGAACTGGCCCATTTATAGTGATACTTGTGTGTCAGTTGAAAGGCGAATGAAGGCAGGACTGAATGGATAATATAGTCAGTACATATGGTTGAAATGACTGCGGTTCTTTCTCCTGCAGGAATTGTTCATGTTTTGCTATGCGCAACGTTCAGTCAATGGCTTCCATGAGCCCTATTTCCCTATCAGGGAAACAGAGAAGCCTAGAATAATATGCACTCAAGAAGCACCATTTGGCTGGGTGCCCGTGGCTCAAGCCTGTAGCTTGCCTGTAATCCTAGCTATTCAATGGGCTGAGATTTGAGGATTAAGGTTTGAAGCCAGCCCCAACAGGAGAACCTATGTTTACACGCGCCCCCCCCCCCCCCCCCCCCCCCCCCCCCCCGCCTCCAGGGGCTTGAATTCAGGGCCTGGCCACTGTCCCTGAGCCTCTCTGTGCTCAAGGCTAGCGCTCTACCACTTGAGCCACAGAGCCACTTCTGGCTTTTTCTGTTTCATGTAGTACTGAGGAATCGAACCCAGGGCTTCATGCATGCTAGGCCAGCACTCTACCACCAAGCAACATTCCTAGCCCTGTGAAACTCTGATCTCCAATTAACTACCAAAAAACAAAAGAAAAAAAACAAAAAAAAAAAGCCCAGGCGTGGAGCTGCGGCTCAAGTGGTAGAGCGCTAACCTTAAGCAAAAAAACAAAATAAAACTCAGAAACAGTGCCCAGGCCTTGAGTTCAAGTGACAGAACTGAACCCCCCCCCACCCCCGCCAAAACAAAAAACAAAAAAAGGAATTATTTGCCCTTAGTCAACATGGCATCCAGAATGGCTTCAGGAAAGGGCACCAGGAGGAAAAAAATCCATCCAAACTCAAAACTACTGACCTTAGTCAAAATGGCCTCCTTCAGCTTCACGCCAGCGGAACGCGCATGCTTAGTTTTGTTCCTGTCCCCCGCCCTTTGGTCTGACGCATGCGTTATATAGTGGGCGGTGTGAGTGGAATAAACTTCTCTGTGATTGGCCGGTGCGGGATTTCAAACCCGAGCGGGCAGCGCGGTGCCGCTCTGCCGTTGGGTGAGACGCGTCGGGAAGTGTCTGGCCGCCCAGGTGGGACCTGGCGGCACCCCGAGGAGTGAGCGCGGTGGGCTGCGAGACCAGGCGCCGGATTGACGTGCTGGAGGGCGTGCGGCCGCCGTGGTAAGTTTTTGGCCACCGCGGGGGGGTCGGAGGGGAAGGCCGGCCGCCTGTGTCCCGCGGCTGTGGCTTTCCAGGCCAGGGGGAGGTGGGGGGGCTTGGGAAGGCCAGGTCTGCTTGTTTGAGTTTTTAATTTTGGCATCGGGTCTTGTGGGAAGTGAGAAGTGTTTTAGGGGTGGCTTCTTTTACAGGACCGGAGCCATCCCCCCCACCCCCATTCCCCCCCTGACCAAAAAGAAGTGGTGTGTACTTAAACTCGCTGTCGGTGGGGTGACCTCCCCACCCCGCTTTTGGAAGCACTGGGTATTTGTAAAGGGAGGAGCCTTGGTGTTTGGGGGGCCTGAAGGTGAGCCCCGTCTTCCTGGTTGGGCTGGGTCTCTTCAGGTAGGCGGCCCAGGCAAGGAATGACATCTTGCCCTTCCCAACTTGTTTCTGAGCCTCAGTAAACAGTCACCCTTTTATGTATTTATTTAATTGTTTTTTTTTTTTTTACCCTTTCACGCCCATTTCAGTTCATAAGTATCTCTCTTTGGTAGGCCAAGGGTGTGTGTAGGGAATTGGAGTGGGTGGGAAGATAAAAGCCCTTAAAATTTAAAGACATTCTTTTTAATAGGTCAGATAAACACTTTAAAAAAAATTAGTGAAGTTGTTTTGAGAAGGCACCATCCTATTGCTTGCTTAATCATCCAACAGGTACTTTTATTTTTATATTGTGTGTGTGTGTGTTGGTCCTGGGGCTTGCACTCAGGGTCCTAAGGCGCTGTCACTGAGTTTTGTTTGTTTTTTGCTCAAGACTGGTGCTCTATTATTTTTAGATTAAAAAGAAAGATTTTTATTAGTATACATCAGCCAAGGGTGTGTGTGACTCACTGGGACATTTCCATAAGCGCATCCAATGCATTCTCACCAAACTTGGAAACTCACTCCCTCAGTCAGTCACGGGTCCCCCTTTTCTTAAACAATTTCAGTGGATTCTTACTCAACACTAACTGGTACTATTAAAGTTTAAGTAGAAGGCAATCATACTTAGCCTAAAAAGAATGTGCAGTTTGTTTGGGGTGGCAGAGTTTAAAAAGATATCTGCTGAATCTATAAAATGTTGGAGTACACCATATAGTATAGTGTTTTTTTTGTAGCAGGGGCCGGTGGTGAGACAGGGTCTCTGATATTTACCCCAGGCTGGCCTTGAACTTTCCTTCTGTCTGCCTTACTCCTGACTAGCTGGGATTTCAGGCAAGTGCCCTTGGGCCCAGTTAGTATGACTTTTTTAGAAAGTTTTTTTTGGCAGTCTTTATGAAGAGTCTTAAGAGTTTCCACACCCTAATATGTATTAATTGAATGGGGTGGGGGCATGGCTCAGTTGGTAGAGTGCTAGTCAATTAGTGGAAGCATTAGGTACCAAGTTCAGTTCTTGGTCTCAGACCAAAAAAGAAGAAGAAAAGAAATACATTGATTGGAAATTTATGTAAGGAGCATGGTCACCTGAAGAAAAATACTGTTTGATGTTATTCATTCAGTGAGTACTTAATCACTAACAAATGTCTTCATTGTTAAGGCACCGGAGGCTCAGCAGTGAACAGAACAGACAAAAATCTTTGCTTCCTGAGAATTTACACCATTGACAATAAATTAAATAAGTATACCAGAATGATAAGTGCTTTGGGGAACAAAGTTAAGTTGAGAAGTGTCGAGAGGAAAGGCTGCAATTTAAAAGGATGGTTAGGCCGGGTGCTGGTGGCTCACGCCTGTAATCCTAGCTAATCAGGAGGCTGAGATCTGAGGATCGCGGTTCAAAGCCAGCCCGGGCAGGAAAGACCGTGAGACTCCTATCTCCAATAAACCACCAGAAAACCGAAAGTGGCGCTGTAGCTCAAGTGGTAGAGCGCTCGCCTTGAGCTGAAGAGCTGAAGGACAGCGCCCACGCCCAGAGTTCAAGCCCCACGACCGACAAAAAAAAAAAAAAAAAGTAAAAGGATGGTTAGGAAAGACTTCACTGAGAAAATGACATGAATAAAGATTTGAAAGAGGCCATCCAGGAGATTCCAGGCAGGGTGGTAACTGAAAAATGGAATAATCTAAATATCAAAAGAAGAGAATGATTAAACAGTAGTTGCTCATCAGCTGTTTTGAATTTAATGGAGACATGATAGTAAAAAGCAAAGCACAAAATTATATATAATCTATGATTGCAACTCTGATAAATGAGTGCTCATGGACAAAGGTTAAATATAGAGGCACATAACAGTTGGTTAGAGTGATGATGATTTTTCTTTATTTTTTTTTAAACATAGAAATTTATCACTATGAGGCAGTGTTTCTGCTCAGTGAGTGTTTTAGATAATAAGGGAGATCATTGTGGATTGAAATGAAGGCTTCATTGAATTGGTAAGACTTATTTTAGACCTTGAATAAAACAGTTAAGACAGAAGAATTCACAGAAAAAAAGATGAATAAGCTGAGTTTGTAATAATTTTATAAAAAAAATCATTATTCAGTTCTCATTTCTTCATGTTGGGTTGAAGATATTCTGTACACTCATTCTGCATTAGTTTGCTCACAAGAACAATGCTTTTTTTGAGGGGGGTGAGGGGGTGGGAACCTGGAATGTGGCTCAGTGGTGGAACACTTGATTACCATTTACAAGGCTCTGAGTTCAATCCCTAGCACTCTAAAAACAGACAAAAATTTGATCTCATGATGGTATTTTTTCTTTTTGCTTATGTGGTGCTGAGGAATCGAACCCAGGGCCTCAGGCATGCAAGGCAAGCGCTCTACCATTGAGCTACCTTCCCAGCCCGATAGTATTTTTTCTTCTTCTTCTTTTTTCTTTTTTTTCCCCTGTCGGTCGTGGGGCTTGAACTCTGGGCTTGGGTGCTATCCTTGTGCTCTTCAGCTCAAGGCGAGCGTGCTACCACTTGAGCCACAGCACCACTTCCAGTTTTCTAGCAGTTTATTGGAGATAAGTCTCTCAGGAACTTTCCTGCCCTGGCTGGCTTTGAACCTAGATCCTCAGATCTCAGCCTCCTGAATAGCTAGGATTATAGGCGAGAGCCACTGGCTCCCGGCTTATTTTTTCTTCTTGCCACTTGGATTTGATACAGACATTTGGGAAAAAAAATTGTTCTGAAATGCTTCCTACTTGTATGAAAGAATCTTAGCATTGAGATTGTTTTTGGGAATAAAAGGTTTTCCTTGGTAGCAGAAAACCTATATTGTTAATTTCTTGGGATTCTCCAGATCAGCAATGTTTGTGGTATTTTTTTTTATTAAAACACTTCAATAAAAAAGTCAAGTCGTTTTCTATTGCTTTGTTTTACAATATTTAACACCTTTTACGTATCTAAAAAACCCGATATGTAGCTTTCATCATAATGTTGTTTGTAAGAGAAAGTAGAAGAGTATATAGACTTCTCCCAGGATACCCTGCAGTCTGCAGTAGTCTGTTACTCTGAAGAACTGTCTGTCTTCTTCTCTGGGTGATTGAAATTAAATTGGGGGCTCAAAGCAATCAAGGCAAGCTGAGACTCTACCTTGGTGTTGCCAAATTGCTCCCTTAGGGATACTCACAGATTGGGAATCTGTATGTAGTGACTTCTCCACTTCTGGGGCCTCCTATCAATAATAGCTGAGATTCTCTGCACCTTTTTGTTTAAAGTGCTCACAAACTGATTTCCTTGCCACACACGGGGGTCGTTTCAGCTTTCCCGAAAGGCAGCAGCCCCTTTTGTGGAAAGTGACAGCTGTTTTACAGCTGCAAAGCAATGCACTGCAAGATGACTTTGTTTTTGTTTCCTTTCACATTAGTGTATCTCCTAGCTATGCAGCTAAATAATAAAGGGAGAGGAAATAAACTTAAGGGTGAAAATGTGACCCAGTAGGAAAATTAAAACCATTCTCAGTTGACATTGAATAGGATGAGTAGATTTTAGCTTTTTGAGTTACAATTTGGCTAAGATATCAAGGGTAGTGATGCAGAAAGATATTTTTGTCACCTATAAATAATTCCTTAGAGTCACTTCTGTAGGATGTTAATAAAAATATATTGTTCCACAGACTATAAAGAGAAGAGGATTATAGTTTGCTACTGCCACTTTGATTACCCTAAGTAAACCTGTATTAGAGGTTTACTTCAATAGCATTAAGCCTTATCTAGAACAGCTTGCATAAGTTTCTTTACCTGGTCAAATTTTGTTATCTTTTTGATTGTTTTTGGTCTAGGTTCTATTTATAGACCACTTTTATATGCTTCATTCTTTGTGTAATGTGATTTGGGAGAGACATCCGAGAATGTATGTAACAAACAACCTACTACGTGAGCTCCGCATTTATTAGTCATTTATAGTCTCTGGGTCTTAGTTGTTGGTATCTGTAATACAGAAGTTAAGTTAATCAAATTCATTAAAAAATATATGTGAAATGTCAAACTGAGTGTCCAAATCACTTCAAAGGTCCTAGTAAATACTGATTTTCTTTGTAATTATATAGCATTATTTAAGAAAATAGTTATAATTCTGAATTTACTGTTATCTCTATGTGCAAAGAGCCTAAACTGGGAAGAATACTAGATTTTGGAATCATTGTTCTGGGATGTGATTAACAACTATCAGACACAAATAAAACAAAAATTCATTCTTTTCTGTTTTGTTTTGTTGTGTTCTTTTTGCCAGTTCTGGCACTTGAACTCAGGGCCTGATCACTGTTTCTGAGCTTTTGTGCTCAAGACTAGTGTTCTACCACATGAGCTCCACTTCTGGCTTTTTGATGGTTAATTGGAGATAAGAATCTCATGCACTCTCCTGCCCCAGCTGGCTTTGAACTATAGTCCTCAGATCTCAGCCTCCTGAGTAGCTGGGATTACAGGTGTGAGCATAGTTTTTTTTTTGCATAGTTTTTTTATATATAAATACTTATATATTAATAGTAAGGGTCAATTTATGCATTGTAAAGTTTTTTTCTATGTTAACTTAAAAATTTTCTGTGAAGTATAGTGTATTATTGTTTGCACTTTATAAATGAGCCTCAGAATTTAAGTAATTACCAACAGTTTTACTAGTATATAAGAGATTGAAGCTTTAATTTAGGACTATTGCCCTACCCCTCTTTAACTGTTCTTTTTGTTCTGCTCTAAATTATGTAATGTTGAGGTAGAAAGCAATCCTTTTGAAGTATTAATGGCAGTGTGTGTATTCTTTCACATTTATCAGCTGTTTGTATTACGTTTTAAATTCTCAATGTTTGTGTGTATAACATAGTGCCAAATATAAGATTTCTGCTCTCAAGTTTACAGTCTGCCTGGAACACAAATATCAGGTGATGAGGGGAAAATAGAAATTGAGAAAATAGAAATTGATGGAGACCATGCTGATCTGTCACAATTAAGGACTGCCTCTTTGTGTACAGTAGAGAATGAGGAGGTTCTTAACTAAGCACCTTCTGGCTATGATACTAGGCATCACCCAAGGAGAACAATGCAGATTGCTCTTTGTTGTATGTGTAGTGGTGAGATGTCCCCATGTAGGTTGTCTGCATGCTTAGCAGTGAGATTGATGTGTTCAAGAGCCTGCTGCCCTCCAACTCTTATTCCAGTGAGTAATATACATAGAAAAGAATAATGGACTGAAGGAATGTGAGAAAATGTGACTGTTTCAGTCTGTTCCTGCTGCTAAAACAAAATATCTTAGCCTAGGTAATTTAGAATTGAGACACTTATTTTTCACGGTCTGGGAAGTCCAAGATAAAGGTGCTAGCACAGTCTTTGTCTGGTAAGGGCCTGCTTTCTACCTCTGATCATGTTCTGATCACTTTTTTTGTTTATTTGCTTGCTTTGTTTTGTTTCCATACTGGCTCTTGAATTTAGGGCCTCATGGCCTTAGGGCTTTTTCATTCCAGCTGGTGCTCTATGTCTTGAGCCACACTTTCATTTCTGGATTTTTGGTGGTTAATTGGAGATAAGTCTCATGGGCTTTTGTGCCTAGACTGGCTTGGAACCTCAATCCTCATATTTCAGCCTCCTGAGTAAGTAATTAGGGTTATAGACATGAGCCATCAGTGCCTGGCCTAATCACTTCATAGTACTACTGCATTGGGAATTTAGGTTTAACAGGAATCTTAGAGGGACACAAATACTTAAATCATACACGAGATCAAGAGTCAGTTCATGGAGTTATGTCTGAAGTGATAAGAGTACTTATCTAGCAAACTGAAGCCCGTAGTTTAAAACCCCAGTGACAGACAGATACACAGACACAGTCAGGTCTTATTTAAGACAGAACAACTTTTAGAGGGAAAATTAAGAGCTAGACAGACAGACAGACAGACAGACACACACACACACACACACACACACACAGAGTCAGGTCTTATTTAAGACAGAAAAACTTTTGGGGGGAAAATTAAGAGCTGGGTTCTGATGGGGAATCATACAGATTTTTCTGTTCCTGCTAGCTCAGGTCCTCCAGGTCTCTGAGTAGCTAGGGTTACATACGTGAATCACTGATACCTGACTTTTTTTTTTTGCCCGTTCTGGGGCTTGAACTCAGGGCCTGGGTACTGTCCCTGAGCTTTTTTTGCTCAAGGCTGGCACTCTACCACTTTGAGCCGCAGTGCCACTTCTGGCCTTTTCTGTTTACGTGGTACCGAGGAATGGAATCCAGGGCTTCATTCATGCTAGGCAAGCACTCTACTACTAAGCCATATTCCCAGGCCACCTGACTCATTTCTATACTCTTGAACAGAAGTTTTCTACTGTTCTAGAATTTCACATATACAGATGAGTTGAAAGAAATCAATGCTCAGATTAAAAGTACTTATTAGGACCTTATGTTTTTATTGGGAGTCAAAAGCTATGGTCATCTGAATCAACTATTGAATATGATTCCCTGCTTCTGTCCTGTGGTACTTGAGTATGCTTATTTTTATTAAGTCCATGAGTATCTCTCCATGACTTCCAGACCTCTTCCTGTCAGTGTTTTTGTTTTGTTTTGTTTTTTGTTTGGTTGTTCATGGGGCCTGGACTCTGGGCCTGGGTGCTGTCCCTCAGCTCTTCACCTCACAGATACACAGACACAGTCAGGTCTTATTTAAGACAGAACAACTTTTAGAGGGAAAATTAAGAGCTAGACAGACAGACAGACAGACAGACACACACACACACACACACACACACACACACACACACATACACACACACAGAGTCAGGTCTTATTTAAGACAGAAAAACTTTTGGGGGGAAATTAAGAGCTGGGTTCTGATGGGGAATCATACACATTTTTCTGCCCCTGCTAGCCACAGCGCCACTTCCAGCTTTTTCTGCTTATGTGGTGCGGAGGAATCACACCCAGGGTCTCATACATGCAAGGCAAGCACTCTACCACTAGGACACTTTTCCAGCCCTTTTTCTGTCAGCTTTAATGTTATTCTTTTGATTTTGTTCTTAGTTTAGAAAAAGACTTTTGTAATAAATTTTGTTGGTCTGGTTGCTTAGCAGCTTGCTATGATTATGTTGCTTGGAACAGATAAATTGCCATTTGAGGATCTTAGTTTCTGGCCCAGAATCAGGTGTATATTGTATCCAAGCTGGAATTGAAGGTTTTTGCTATTACAATTGTCACAAGTACAAATGAATATTTTTGTAGCATTTAATAGAAAATATCTTTGTGTTCATGTATTCCTTTGTCGTTTTTTCTTCATTGCTGTTACAACTTATGGTACACTCTTAAAAACATTGCAAAAATCACAAACCATTCATAATAGAGTTTTGAAATTTTTATTTAAAGACAAAATAATCACCAGGAGTAGAATGTTGAGCGATAGATTGCGAAATAGAGGAACAGTCCTTTTTATGATATTTCTAAAGACATTTTATTTTCAAGTGAAATTTGAGTTTATTTCATTTCCTTGATAATTTTCATAACATCCCATGAATGTCTTTTTTAACTGTTAAATGAAGATCTTATTTCCTCAAGATATTTGCAGTTAAAGTCTATTTGAAATAGAACTGCATTTTTAATGTAATCGCTGTAGGTCTTTGAGGGGAAGCACAAAGCCTGAAATTCACTATACAGAACATACCAATAAATGATTTTTCCTTTGCCCTTCTAACTGTGAAGGTGGTGTATTGTCTCTGATGCCAGAATATGGTACACCATAATCCTTCGCCTGTACTTGGTATAAATTTATTAGACATAGTCTGCAAGCAGTCCAGCACCCTGCATTACAGAAATAATTCTTGTGTTGCTGAGCTGGCAATTTCCCCACTTAATCAGTGATATGATGTCATTTGTGTCATTGGTAGGAAATGTGCTGACCATGTCCTGCTTTTTAGAAGGCAGTTTCAACAGGACATTTGCTAAAAATGAAATTAAAGATAGACACTTTAAGTTACATTGTAGATTTCAAAGTCCACAAGAATTAAAATAGCAGAAGTATTATACTAATCAGGTTTGACTTGAACCACATTTTGTAGTCACCTTGTAATCAACTGATTGACAGGCTCATTCCTAATTGCCTTCTTGTCAGCACCAGGATGATTGTGGGTCGAGGTAGGAAAAGAAATAGGCAGGAGGTGTAGGTATTATCTTCTTGTATTCAAGAGAGCCTTCGACAATCCAACTTTGGTTTTAACTGTTTATTTTTTGTCTTTTCAATTTTGGAACTGGGGATTGAACCCAAGACATTATACTTGTTAGGCAAGTGCTTTGCCACTGACCAACTCCCTAGCCTCCAACTTGGTTTTTATATTGAGGATCTTAATGGTAGCTGAAAATGGAAGAGTCCAGATGTTGGTCACTGATGACTCTACGAGTTTGTTACTGCATCTTTTGTCAGAGGGAGAAGGCAGGACCCCTAATGTGTATTTGATTTCTTGGCAGAAAGATGGATACTACAATGCTGAATTTGCGGAATCTGTTTGAGCAGCTTGTGCGCCGGGTGGAAATTCTCAGTGAAGGAAATGAACTTCGTAAGTCATTCTGAGTTGGTTTGTGCAAAAAGAAAAAGCAGACTTCACATTTGGGCTTTCTATAAAACTGAAATATTTCAGTCTTAAAGTTGCTTTTCTTTCGTGTTACCTAAGAAGAATCTGATGGTCACTTACCCATAATCAAAGATTAATGGGAATTCTTTTTTGTTGTTGTTGATCATGGGGCTTGAACTCTGGGCCTGGATGCTGTCCCTCAGCTCTTCAGCTTAAGGCTAGTACTCTACCACTTGAGCCACAGCACCACTTCTGTTTTTTTCTGCTTATGTGGTGCTAAGGAATCGAACCCAGGGCCTCATGCATGCAAGGCAAGCACTCTACCACTGAGGCACCTTCCTTGCCCCTGGAAATTATTCTTAAGTCACTAAAATTATTTCTGTAGTTGCTCTGATTTAGACTTTACTCAGATGTTTTTCATTAGTAACATTATCTTTCCATTTAGTGGTTGGCATTACTTGCCATTTTCTTGTTTGTACTATGAACTAGGTAAAATATGAATTTCTAAGGATTTTTTTTTCCTTTTTTAGTAGTTCTCTTTTTTTTGGTGTTCTACCACTGAGTCATAGCTCTACTTCCTTTTTTTTTTTTTTTTCTGTGCTTTGTTTTGGAACGTGGGGCTTGAAATTACAGCTTTTTCCTGCTCAAGGATGATGTTTTACCACTTGAGCCACAGCTCTACTTCCAGATTTTTGATTGTTTTGTTTGTGTTTGGTCCTGGGGCTTGAAATCAGGGCCTGGGTGCTATCCCTGAGCTTCTTTGCTCAAAGCTAGTGTTCTACTACTTGAACTACAGCTCCATTTCTAGCTTTTATTTTGGTAGTTAATTGGAGATAAATATCTTGGGCTTTCCTGCCTGGGCTGGCTTAAAACCATGATCCTCAGATCTTAGCCTCCTGAGTAGCTAGGATTAAACAGGCATGAGCCACTGGCACCCAGCTAGTTGTCTTTATTCTTTATCCCAGACTTTTTGGTGTTCTATAAAACAAATGAAGAGGGAAAAATAGCCTTTTTTTTTCCGAAAAAGGACTAGGCACGTACTTTCACCAACTTTTGTACATTAGATGTATGAGTAAATAATAAAGGAGATAGGGTGGAGGGTTGGGGAGGAAAAGGAACGATCTGGAAAATAAATTGGAAAGGAAAGTGGGACTGATAGCATTGATGTATATGATCTAAGCGAATTATTCTATGCCAGCTTCTCTTTGTGTTGCTATTTCTCTTCTATTTCAGATTTTCAGTAATAACCAATTTAGCATGTGTTGCTCTCAAATCAGCCTTACTGGCATAAAAGTAATGATTCTGAAAAGTAATGTCCTGAGCTTTTCTTTACCTCCATAGTATTTAGTACGGCATCTTGCTTATACCATTCAGTATTTTCTTTAAATTGATTGATGCTTTTAATAGCTCTTATCCACTTACAGGCCTTTCAGAACAATATTCTATTTTCTCTCTCTAATAGCTGCTGCATGACCCTGTCATCTGGTACTAGCTCAGTAACCACAATGGCATACTAATCAGGCTTCTCTTTGAGGTCACATCATCTCAGAAAATGGATTACTTTGGAGTCTAGTGGGAAAGATAGGGAATAAAAAATCTTAAAACACAGGTTCATTTAACAAATATTTTGTGAGAGCCTATCAAAGCTTCTAGTACATGTTGAGTTTGAGGGAAAGAGACAACTAAATGGCTTCTTGAAAGAAAATAAGCTTTGAGTTGAATCTTAAATATAGGGTCAGATCTTAATAGGCAGGGATGAAAGAGGGCATTTTAGGTCAAGCAACAGCTTGAGTGGAGGGAAGAGGGGATCCAGTGAGGGGGAGGGGATGGTTAGCACTTTGCTTTGGGAAGATTACCTCACAGAGGTGAAGGTTGCAGTAGAGTTGGAGACTAGGATTCTGACTAGGAAGGAAGTGGTTGCCATAGCTTATGAAAAAAGGAGAGGAATCCCATTCCAGAATGAATGCTTGTGAGTTGGAAACATGGGCCAAATGTTAGAAGAGATTGTAATGATAAGACCTCTAGGAGTTTAAGATAGGGGTATGGAACCCAAGGGGTATGGTTTAGAATCCTAATAAGTAGTGCTGGCTTTTAGCTTGTTTCTCTCTGTATCTCCATCTGTGAAAAAGGAATTTAAGCATTTTTCTCTTTTGCGTGACTGCTGTGAGGATTTGGGGATATATTGAGGTACTAGTTGTGGAAATACTTTGGGAAGTAATGCTGCAAAAACAAACAAAACCCCTAAATAACACCCCCCCAAAAGAAAAAATAGTAAGACATCTAATTTCCTATTGATTTCAATAATCCCTGTCCCTCCCAACCCATCCCCCTCTCCCCCCTGAAATAAGACATGTAGTTTCCTATTGATTTTTGTTTTGCAATAGTTTTTTTTTTTTGGGGGGGGGTCCAGTTGTAGGGCCTGAACTCTGGGCCCGGGCGCTGTCCCTTAGCTCTTCAGCTCAAGGCTAGCACTCTACCACTTGAGCCACAACGCCACTTCCGGCTTTTTTCTTTTTGCTTATGTCGTGCTGAGGAATCGAACCCAGGGCCTCATGCACGCAAGGCAAGCGCTCTAACACTGAGCCACCTTCCCAGCCCGCGATAGAGATTTTAGTCCCACCATTTTTCTGGTGGTTAATGGGAGATAAGAGTCTCACGGACTTTCCTTGCTGGCTTTGAACTGGGATTCTCAGATCTCAGCCTCCTGAGTAGCTAGGATTACAGGCGTGAGCCACCAGTGTCCAGCTTAGTTTTAAGTTTTTAAGTCTAAGGTTAATGGAAGATAAGAATGAAAGTAGCTAAATAAAATTACTTTAATTAGCAGTGCCGGTGGCTCACGCCTGTAATCCTAGCTACTCAGGAGGTTGACATCTGAGGATCCCGGTTCAAAGCCAGCCCGGGCAGGAAACTCCCTGAAACTTTTATCTCCAATAAATAAATCACCAGAAAACTGGAAGTGGCGCTGTAGCTTAAGTGGTAGAGTGCTAGCCTTGAGCTGAAGAGCTGAGGGACAGTGCTCAGGCCTAGAGTTCAAGCCCCATGACCAATAAAAAAAAAAAAAACCCAAAACAAATTAATTAATAGCTAAGTATTTTGTTAGTTTTCCCCAGTTTATATTTTAATATTCTATTTTTTTGTAAGAAGCTGTCTGAACTTTTTAAAATATTGATGTATGAATTAGGAATAGGCATTACTTAATATTTAGCAAGTGCCTGTTGTGTATCTGTGACAGTTTGTGCTACACTTTGTATAGTGCCCTTACTACCTAAGAATCTGCGTTATGTGAATATGACCTAGTTTCAGCTCTAAACTGGGTTAATGTGACCAGTATCAGATATGCACATTGGACTGTTCCTTCAATATGGTAGAGAGTATGAATGGTGCTTAGAGGTAGACTGAGGTTAACTAGAACATTGTAAGGCACTTTTGCAAGTAGCAGGCGATAAGAATGAATGCCACCAATGTTTTGAGGTGCTGCCTTGGAAGTGACACCATCCTTGCAGACGTTTGACGAGTCCACATTCTTCCTTCTCTCAGTGACTTTCCAAGAGCTCCTGTGATCTCTCCTGCTTTTCCAAGTGGAATGTTTACATACCCTTCAGGGCAGTGTTAAACAGCAAAAGCAAATTGGCTCTTTACTTTCAAATCAATATTTGTATAATTATATAGCTGAATGGAACTGCAGGTCTAGACATCTGTAATATTAATCTACATCTACTGGAGCATATTACAGCAGTTACATTTGAATTTGCTGCTTAACATCTCTGGTGCAGCAATGTGTGACTGTAAAGGAGACTGTTTTTTGTTTCATAGCTGTAACTGTCCTGGTGCGTGACAGCTGCCCCAAAGGTATCCCCCTTTGATTGCCTTCTGTTCAGGAGCTTTCAGTGTTAGTGTTACATCTGGAGCCAGGTGACTAATGAGTTACATATTCCATAGCAGATGCCACTGGCTAAGCTAGAAATATGTGGCCTATTGAATCAGGAATTGCTCTCCACAAAGCTGTTGTCTAGAGTGACAGATATATCCAGTATCTGCTTCTGGTTATTTTCAGTTGGGCTTGCCCAAGTTGAGCTGGTCCCTTAACTATGTGTTGGAGCCATTTATTTGAGGATTTATACCCTGTTTGATATTTGAATTATTAAAATTTTCACCTTTCCTTAGAATTCATCCAGCTGGCAAAAGATTTTGAGGATTTCCGTAAGAAGTGGCAGAGAACAGACCACGAGCTGGGGAAATACAAGGATCTTTTGATGAAAGCGGAATCTGAGCGTAGTGCTTTAGACGTTAAGCTGAAGCATGCACGTAATCAAGTGGAGCTAGAGATCAAACGGAGACAAAGAGCTGAGGCCGACTGTGAGAAGCTGGTGTGTATTTTTTATATGTAAGAACAATAGTTATATAATCATAAACATTTAATAATATACAATAATAGAGAAACAACTGGTAATTTTTCCTCTTGTGAAATATACCCAGTTTTTCTTCCTCATTAAAGAATTGTAAACAACTTGTCCTTTGACACCATGCCCATGATTAGAGTTCAAACTGTCGCTTACGACTCCCCTTCATAGTTAGAAATTAAAATGTTGCCAGGCACTGGGGCTGAAACCTGTAATCCTAGCTACTCAGGAGGTTGAGATCTGAGGGTCCTGGCTCAGTGCCAGCCTGGGCAGGAAAGTCTATAAGACTCCTATCTCCAATTAACCACCAGAAAACCAGAAACGGCACTGTGACTCAAATGGTAGAGCACTGAAGAGTACAGGGAAAGTGCTCAAGCCCAGAATTCATGCACCACCACTGACAAAAAAAAAAAAAAAAGAAAGAAATTAAAATGCTACTCAAAGTATCTTCATCTATACACAACTAGCTGTTCCCACACATTGATAGAAACAAGGCAGTTTTACCTGTCCTGTTATCATCTATTTCAGGGTAAAGAGCTAGATAGACTCAACTAGTCGAGTAATGTGACTGACTTGTAGCAGTATCATTTTGATGTGCCAGTGCTGGCCAGAAAGCCTTTACTAGGAGGGGCTAATCCATCTTAGTTCAGTGTTAGATGCCTCAGTAAGTTCAAATTGTTGGATTCTTTTGTATTACAGCTTTGTATCTGTTTTAATGTGTTTTGTTCTACTATTTACAAAGGTTGGTGACTGCTTTGATCTGTGAAAGGAGCTAATAATTGACTTGATAAAATACAATAAAGTATTTTTGCTATGTGAAATCTATTTTGGAACTTGAATTTTACATTACTCTCTTCTTGGATTAGCAGTTTGATCTAAAAGTCTTGTAGCAGAACCCTGCTATTCTAGCTACAGTTCATTTTACCAGTCAGAAATCAGAGCTACAATCTGTGAATTAATATGCTGTTGGTGTAGCTGCTTTCCTGAAGTCCCATTTGCATAATGCTGTATTTTAATGTCTTCTGCCTGTCCCATAAATTTGAGGTGAAGTTTTCTCTCCTGGCTAGTTATGATGTTTTACTCTGCTTTGGTCTGAAGGAACGACAAATTCAGCTGATTCGAGAGATGCTCATGTGTGACACATCTGGCAGCATTCAACTAAGTGAGGAACAAAAATCAGCTCTGGCTTTTCTCAATAAAGGCCAACCATCCAGCGGCAATGCTGGCAACAAAAGGTGGGGGAACTGCATCTGTTGTTATCTGATCAGGAGCAACACAGCTGTCAGAAGTTCCTGTTATCTGAACTCTTCAATATACTGCTTCTGTAGTGTGTGCTGAAGAAAGCAGAAAAAGACTTTGGGGGAAGGGTATTGAGGAGCTAAGGCCAGGGGCCTCCCCATTTTTTTTCTTCTTTCTTTTATTATTATTATTTTATCTATTTATTTGTGCCTTTCCTTAAGGCCAGGGCCTGAGTTCAGTCTCTGAGCTGCTTTTTTTCCTCCCCTAGTATTGGCTAGTATTGGAGCCACAGCTCTACTTCCAGCTTTTTTTTTTTTTTAAGCATTTAATTGGAGATAAGAGTCTCAAGATGTTTCCTGCCCAGGCTGGCTGGCTTCAGTGATTCTCAGATTTCAGCCTCCTGAGTAGTAGGATTACAGGCATGAGACACTGGCTCCTAGCATTCTTTCCTTATTTTTTATAAATCTCTCCTTAGAATGTTGTTTCACCATGGGTAAAATTTTCATGTTGATGCTAAATTGCACATCAATAACTAATCCTGTGCATTGCTAAGAAACCTAAAGGTGAAAGTGACAGTTCAGCAATAATTTCAATGCTTGCTCTCCAGAGAGCTCTTGTAGTTTTCTGGTTTAGAAAGGCTATTCTGAGCCAAGACTAGACAATAATTTTGGTTCCATACTATCACTATTTAAAATAGTCTTAGCTAGGCTCTGACTTTAATACTCCCAGTACAATAAGTAGGGAAAGGTCAGCACTCTTACAGCTATTTGTTTTGTTGCCTGATTGTTTTATGGTGTATCTTTATAACTAAGAAGATGTACAGCCTTAATTTCTTGCCAAAGCTGGGTTATACTCCCTTGCAGAAAGCAGCCACAGTTGGGATCAAATTAAAGCTCACTCTTCTGCCTTGTGAATTTTTAGTAGCCTGTAGTACAGAATCAGAAGGGAGTAACACCTATAGCCCTAGCAGTAACTTTGAGTTGCTGTTACAAGCCCTTAGTTGAAAAAGAACTGTGCTGCACCTGTAGTTATATACTTCTCATAAAAAGCAGCCCACCATAGTTAGGTTTGAACTTGAAGTTGTCACCATAGAAAAGATATTGCTATGATCTTGCTCATGTTTCCTCATCAGTGGGATTGTTGAGGAATTTTGGTGGCTTTTATATTTCATAGTTTTGTGTCTAACTCTGTATTTTGTCTATTTAGACTATCAACCATTGATGAATCTGGTTCCATTTTATCAGATATCAGCTTTGACAAGACTGATGAATCACTGGTAATAAACATTTGGTCTTTGAGACTTATCTGTTAGCCCTGTTCTCTCCTCTCCCTTTACTGTTGTTTTATTTGTTGATATGTTGTAGAGTCTAAACTAGCAATTTAAAATGTGAATCCACACAGCTGTAAGATACTGGCTTATCTATTTATTTTGTTTCTGGATGTGAGGATGAAGAATTCTGAATTTAGCATGAGGTTAAGTTTACTGAAAGGATGTCTGAGCTGCATGTACTAATTGATTTTATATATTGACTTATTAAATCCGCAGCTAGCCATAAAAAAATTAGCAAGGCTAGGGCTGGGAAGGTGGCTCAGTGGTAGAGCGTTTGCCTTGCATGCTCAAGGCCCTGGGTTCGATTCCTCAGCACCACATAAGCAAAAAAGAAAAAAACCGGAAGTGACGCTGTGGCTCAGGTGGTACAGCACTAGCCTTGAGCTGAAGAGCTGAGGGACAGCGCCCAGGCCTAGAGTTCAGGCCCCACGACCGGACCCCAAAAAAAAAAATTAGCAAGGCTATATGCAGGCAAAGCTTATTTGATGCTCTTGGGGTGAATAGACTTGTGCCTTACTTACTTCTGTATCAGTTTGAATCTTGAGGAAATCTTACCTATACTTTACAATTACAAGGAAACTAAGGGTCCAGGATTTCAATCAGAAGAATGTGATGAGAATTTTTAGGCTATGAATAATGCTTTGATTAATGGCAATTCACATGGCCCAAACTCTTTGTTACCTTACTTTTCTCATCTCATGATGGTATTTCTTCATAAAATTATCCTGGTAATTTAGTCTTTGAATCAGGAGACTGATATTTATTTATTGTGTATTTATTTATTTATTCATTTTGTTGGTGGTGGGGCTTGAACTGTGGGCCTGGGTGCTGTACCCGAGCTCTTCAGTTTAGGAGAATACTCTACCACTTGAGCCACAGCGCCATTTTTGATTTCCTAGTGGTTATTTGGAGATAAGAGTCTCACGAACTTTCCTGCCTGGGTTGGCTTTGAACCATGATCCTCAGATCTCAACCTCCTGAGTAGCTAGGATTACAGGTGTGAGCCACCAGCACCCGGCGAGACATATTTATTGATTTGTGTTTTCTGTTGCTAGCTGCTCCTAGCAAATAAAATAATAAATTATAGGAAGTTAATGGTGGCTATTTTTCTGACATAGTGAAACAATTAACAATTACTTTTTTTCCCCCAAATTTAATGTTTACTAGGGGGAAATATGGCCATTTTAGTCAACTCCTTTTGGAAATAAGAAATACAGAGTAGGTTTGGGTTAAATAAGTCTACACAGGAGGCTAAGATCCAAAAGATTACAATTGGAAGCCAGTCCAGATAGAAAGGTGTATAAGATGCTATCTCCAAAAACCAAATCATCAGCTGATTTTAAGGTAGACATATGCTATGATAACCTTTTCTAAAACTGAATCAACTAATATCTAAACTAGCTGAAGGAAATTATTTGGTTGAGCTACTATTTTCTATATGCAATTATTTCTAGATACTATGTTCCTATTCAGGGACAGTCAGGAATTAATCACAGGTACATACTAAAATGAATGCAGATAGTGAATTGAAATTAAGCCATAAAAAGACAAAATATTTTCTGGAAGTTAACCTTTTTTTTAGGATCCAAAGAAAAGGAATGATCAAAAGACATAAACCTAAACTTAAACTTTTGAAGTGTTCTACAGAAGATCTGGTAGACTGCAGCAATCCCTCAAGGGCAAGAATTACACTTGACATGACCAGTGTAGTACCTAACATTCTGTAGGTTCTAAAACTAATTACAAAAATAATCAAAAATAAAGGACCAGACACCAGAAATAATCACGATAGAAGTTGATTCTTTAACCTTTTCTTGTCTCTGTGGTATTGATTCCTGATTCTATTATAATAGCTTCAATTTTTAAAAGAAAACTGGTTAACTTTTACTATTTCTCTATAGCTACAATATTGGAGGCTTTCTCATTATCCCTGTCCTCCTCTAGTTTCTGTAGCTTGGCTACCAAAGGATTTCAAGTTCACTGTAGTTGTGTTTGCATAGTATTGACAGGAGACCTAACTAAAGAAAGAAATTAATATACTGTAATTGTCAACAGGACTGGGATTCTTCCATGGTGAGGAATTTTAAATTGAAGAAAAGAGAAAAGAGGGTATGTATGGTTTGTTTTGCTTTTGTATAAAGAAACAACAGGAGTTTGTTTTACTTTGTGTGATGTCCTACACCTGCAATCCTATTTCTATGCTATCAGGATTCTTAGGATCATGAGTTTGGGACCAGCCTGTCCTATATAGCAAAACTCAAGCAGAAAAAGAATTTTCCTTTTTGCTTTTTAGTGATCCTGGGATTTGAACTCTGGAGTCTTGTGCGAGGCAAGCATTCTATTATTTGAGCCATGCCCGCAGCCTATAGAGTTTTCTTTAGAAAATTTGGCAAGCTAGACTACTCCTGACATGTTACTCTAGCCATTGTTAAACTCATATTACAAACAAATTCATACTGTAGAGCTATATTGATATTCCTTGAGATAGTTACTTAAGACAGAATTCTGTCCTATTTCATAAAGGTCCTGGCTGCATCTTAATTTATTTATGCTCTAGAAAAGGATATGCTTAAGTTTGTTGTGAATTGTCATATAAATTTTTATGCTCTAATACAAGGTTCAGATAAAAATGTGTGAATAATGGGATACAGAGATCTGTTTGTGTGTATTTGTTTAGGATATTTGATATGTTTCCAAAGACTTCATGTCCTAGAATAGGATTACAGTTCCACTTTTCTGGTGCTGTCATCTAAATTTCTCCAAAGCTTGTTCCTTTTTCTACAGCGCTGAGAACATTTTTGTGTTCGTATAACTCATTTTTCATGTGGAAATGGGCAATAAAAGAAAGCACATTGTTATTTACTGTAGCCCTGGTCCTTAGGGCTTACATCCAGTTGTCTGATAGAATAATTTTATCTTCTGTGCTTCAGATCTACTTGATACTAAAGATTTTGGTCCTTGTCCCCTCCCCCCTCCAGCGCTCTAGTAGCCGACAGTTTGTTGATGGACCCCCTGGGCCTATAAAGAAAACTCGTTCCATTGGCTCCACAGTAGACCAGGTAATGAGTCAGGTCAAGAGAACTGGGATCTTGAACACATAAGAGCAGTGAAATGTCTGTGTCAACATTATAGCGTTAGTTTGAGAAGATGTAATATTGGAGTTTTTCTGTGTAATATGGTTGTTACCATTCATATGATTGGAATTACTGTGGTTAAGTGAACAGCTGTAAATTTGATTCTTTTTTGTTTGTATATATTCCACTTTTTCATACATGTATTTTTTAAAGTCAGAGATTTCAACTTAAAAATATTTTGTGTTAGTGCTACAATCTGGATTAAGACTCAGCAATTTTTACCTAATCCCAAATTACCTTATATAGCAGTGGGAAAGTTAGGCTCTTTGTGTTCTTACAATCACTTTTGTTTCAGGGGAATGAATCCATAGTTGCAAAAACTACAGTGACTGTTCCCAATGATGGTGGGCCCATTGAAGCTGTGTCCACTATTGAGACAGTGCCTTACTGGACCAGGAGTCGAAGGAAAACAGGTCTGTTGAATCTGACTAAACAGTTTGTGTAGGTCCTGTAATACCCGTACCTGGGAGGCTGAGGTAGGAAGATTGTGAGTTTGAGTCCATTTGGTCTCATAGACACAGTTCATTCACAGTGAATGAATACAATAATGAATTCATGACTAAAGGTGTGAGTGAATTTCTAGTCTGTATAAAACAACTGAAACATTTAGTAGAGTTGGTTTTTTTAGAATCCTCTTGAGAGTCAGGGACAGTTAAAATGGGTAATTTCTAGAGGATTAAAGGACTAGTTGATTGTACGTGCTTTACTTTTTTGGATTGAAAGCATGGATAACTGGTTTTTCTTAAAAGTGTCCTCCCCGTCCCCCGCAAATAGTTGTTGGTATTCATTTATGAGTTATGGTTACAAATTACTGTTTTATCAGTTACTTAAATAATGGGGCTGAAATTTAAAAGGAACAGAATACTTAAGACAAAGCTTAAATTTGATTGCTTTCTAGGTACTTTACAAACTTGGAACAGTGATTCCACCCTTAGCAGCAGGCCACTGGAGCCAAGAACTGAGACAGACAGTTTGGGCACACCACAAACAAATGGAGGAATGCGCCTACATGACTTTGTCTCTAAGACGGTAAATGCACAATGGATTCATTTCCTTTCAAGCACTTTTTTTTTTTTAAGCTCATGGCTTCAGGCTAGCTAGGCAGACATTGTCTACTGAGTCTTCTAGCCTTTTTTGATACTTTTTTTTGTTACCCATCCTGAGGTTGAAATCAGAGCCTGGGCACTGAGCTTTTGAGCTTTTTTTCCCTCAAGGTTAGTGCTCTGCCACTTGAGCCATAGCTCCATTGTCTGGCTTTTGGAGAGATAAGAGTCTCACAGACTTTCTTGCCCAGTCTGGCTTCAAACTATGATCTGCATATCTCAGCCTCCTGAGCAGCTAGATGTGAACCACCATCACTCGGCAGGCACTAGTTATTTTTGAGATAGTCTCAGTTCCTGCTCAGGTGTGTATTTTAGACTCCTTTTGAAGCTATGATGACAGACATATGCCACCATACTCAGCCTCTTTTGTTGAGATGGAGTTTCATGGGCTTTTCTGCCTGGGATGACCTCAAACAGTGATTACCAGTCTTATCCACCCAGGTAGCTAGGATGAAAAGTGTGAGACATGGGTGCCCAGATATTTATTTATGAGACAAGATCTTGTTGTGTAGGCTGGTGGTCCTCACACTTTGTCATACTCCCTCAGTACCGAGTACTGAGATTATAAGCCTGTGCCTTAACTTATTAAAGAAAACAGTCTACTTTATGGAATTTGGGGTAAGATTATGTCTTTTCTGTTTTTCTTTTTTCTTTTGTATCAGTCAGGGCCTGGGCTCTGCCCCTGAGCTTTTTTTGTTAAAGGCTAGTGCTCTACCATTTGAGCCATAGCTCCACTTCTAGCTTTTGGTAGTTAATTGGAGATAAGAGTCTCATGGAGGGGCTGGGAAGGTGGTTCAGTGGTAGAGCGCTTGCCTTGCATGCATGAGGCCCTGGGTTCGATTCCTCAGCACCACATAAGCAGAAAAAAAAGCCGGAAGTGGTGCTATGGCTCAAGTGGTAGCATTCTAGCCTTGAGCTGAAGAGCTGAGGGACAGCGCTCAGGCCCAGAGTTCAGGCCCCATGATCGGACCCAAAAAAAAAAGAGTCTCATGGACTTTTTTTTTTGCCTGGGTTAAGTTTAAACTGTGATTCTCAGATCTCAGCCTTCTGAATAGTTAGGATTACAGGTTGGAACTGCCAGTGCTTGGCTTTTTGTCTTTTTAAGAGTTAGTATATATATATAATTTTGTTGTTATTAAGATGTTGTATAGAAGGATTATTTCATAAATCAGGTAATGAGTACATTTCTGTTTCGGACAGTGTTACCTCTTCCTTCACTTTCCCCAACTCCCCTTCCTGTCCCTGCCCACAAGTCACATAGTTCATTTTCCACATTCAGTGTCTACTGAATACCTTTTTTTTTTTTTTGAGAGTTATATTTTTTAAAAAGCATATAAAGGTCTTAGAAAGTTGAGACATACCAAGTCCTCAACATATGTTGGCAATTTTGTAATTCATTTACTCTGTTCTTTCTGTCCTGTTTTATCTTCAGGTTATTAAACCTGAATCCTGTGTTCCATGTGGAAAGCGGATAAAATTTGGCAAACTGTCTCTAAAGTGTCGAGATTGTCGAGTGGTTTCTCATCCAGAATGTCGAGATCGCTGTCCTCTTCCCTGCATCCCTACCCTTATAGGAACACCTGTCAAGATCGGAGAGGTAGGATTTGTGGACTCTATTGTTGTGTGGCTTCTTTTACCTTTTAGAGACTTAATGTCAGCTTTTATTGTAAAATTATTGATGCCAGATATATTTCTATGCATGAAAAATAGAAATAGCAAAATGTTAACCTGTAGCAATCTTGTTGGGGTTGTCTGTTTAATGATCTTTCTAAACCAAACTCTTCCCTCTGTTTTCTTTTTTTGTTAGTTGTTGGGCTTGAACTCTGGGCCTAGGTGCTGTCCCTCACCTCTTCAGCTCAAGGCTAGTGCTCTACCACTTGAGCCACAGTGCCACTTCTGATTTGCTGATTGTTAATTGGAGATAAGAAACCCATGGATTTTGTTGCCTGGGCTGGCCTCCCCCTAAGTAGCTAGGATTATAGGTATGAGCCACTGGCACCTGGAAACCCTGAGTTTTTGTTTTTTGTTTTTTTTCGGTCGGTCGTGAGGTTTGAACTGTGGTCCTGGGCACTGTCGCTGAGTTCTTCAGCTCAAGGTGAGCACTCTACCACTTGAGCCACAGCGCCACTTCTGGCATTTTCTGCTTATGTGATGCTGAGGAATTGAACCTAGGGCCTCATGCATGCAAAGCATGCACTTTACCACTGAGCCACCTTCCCCGCCCTCTCAGGCCAATTCTTGAGTTATTCATTTTCATCTGTGAATATTCATGTTAGAGATAGTTCATAACAAGATATTTCATACCAGGCTTAAGTTACTGGGCTGGAGGTGCAATTCAAGTGATAAGAGTACCAGATTAGCACTCAAAAGCCCCTAGTTTATATCCTAGCACCACATAATTAATTACAAAAAGAAAAAAGATGGTAGCTGGGTGCCAGTGGCTTATGCCTATAATCCAAGATATCTAGATGCTAAAATCTGGAGGATTATAGTTTGAAGCCAGCTCAGGCAGAAGAGTCTTTGAGATTCTCTCTCCAAAATAACTAGTTAAGAACATGCCTTCAGTATGGCTCACAAGGTAGAATTCCAGCAAGCAAACCAAGTGTAAGGCCCTGAGTTCCAATTCTGGTAGTGGCAAAAAAAAAAAATTACTTAGAAAATATTGATTATATAAGCAACATTAACAAGCATTAGAATAAATTGATTGTGCTGTTGCCCTCAACAAATCAAATGTTATTATTTTAGCAGTATTTGAGTATGAACTTAGGACCTTGCATGCACTAAGTCAGGTACTCCCTATTTGTGCCACATCCTCAGCTCTAGTCTCCTAGTCCTCGATTTTTATCAAAGCATACAAGTTTTTTTTTTCTTTTAGTTTCTTTAATGGAACTATGGATGTTGGGCTCTGATGGCTCACACCTTTAATCCTAGCTACTCAGGAGGCTGAGCTCTAAAGATTACAGTTTGAAGCCAGCCCGGGCAGGAACATGCATGAGACTCTTATTTCCAATAAACTACTCAGAAAAAAAGCCAGAAGTGGCATTGTGGCTCAAGTGGTAGAGTGCTAGCCTTTAGCAAAAGAACCTCAGGGGCAGCATCCAGGCTCTGAGTTCAAGCCCCAGGACCAGCACATGTGTGCGTGTATGCACACACACACATACACAACTGAGGTGTATTAAGTAATTTGTTTTTAGCTGAGAATAAAGTACAAAAGGATTCATTTTCATTATTTTTGGTGATTGAGGTAGTCTTTCTCTGATAGCCTAGGTTGGTCTCCATCTGATCCTTTTGCTCCTGCCTCCCTGAGTGTTGGGATTCCAAGGCATGTGCACAGGAAAGATCTTATTTTTGGGGTAGTAAATTAGCTAATATTAAAGGCCGTATCTGAGCCGGGCGCTGGTGGCTCACGCCTGTAATCCTAGCTACTCAGGAGGCTGAGATCTGAGGATCGCGGTTCAAAGCCAGCCCGGGCAGGAGAGACTGTGAGACTCCTATCTCCAAAAAAACCACCAGAAAACCGGAAGTGGCACTGTAGCTCAAGTGGTAGAGCGCTTGCCTTGAGTTAGTTGAAGAGCTGAGGGACAGCCCCACGACCGGCCAAAAAACAAAACAAAACAAAAAAGGCCGTATCTGTAATCTCTATTGCTTGCTTTCTGCTGTAGCTGGTAGTCTTAGTCCTTGTTCCTGCAAAATGTAATCATAAATCAAGGCACTGATAATTAAACCAAGGCTTGGGAATGCTAGGTAAGTGTTCTACCAAGCCACATTCCCAGCCTAAGATCTCAGTTTTAATAGATGCTTTGAAAAATAGGCATTTAAAAGTATTAGTATTAGGGCTGGGAAGGTGGCTCAGTGGTAAAGCGCTTGCCTTGCATGCCAGAGGCCCTGGGTTCGATTCCTCAGCACCACATAAGCAAAAAGAAAAAAAGCCAGAAGTGGCACTGTGGCTCAAGTGGTAG